TCATGCTTGATGCTCTGGAAGTACAACTTCCAATAAGGATTAACACTTAAACTTGTTCTCAGGATCTCTTTTCTATGGACCACAGGTTAAGCACCTGCATTGTATTGTATTGTAAGGATATTATAACTCACTAATTAATCTCCCATTGATAAACATTCAAATATTGCTTATTACAAATAATTCTGTTATAACTATACTTATACGAATATATTTGCACATGTCTCTGATTATTTTCTTAGGATGAATTCATAGACACAGAACTTTTGGAAAGTGGTATAAACAGTTTTAAGGGTATAGAAACTTTTTAACAACTTACATTGAAGTTCTCTAACTCCACACTGTACGAGTCAACAAAGAAATTAGTTGGGAATTGCTGAATCCACACTTGAAGTGGGAATCTTTTTAGGCTTAATATATCAAACTTTAGAAACTATATGGGATAAATAGTCAGTTCTGAGATCAGCCTCTAGCTCCTGCCTCATTAAGAAATGGGTAGTGAGTTGTAATGTCTGTAAGAGTCACCAATATGTTCAGTGGGGTTTCTTCATTTTCCAGATAGCCCATTTTCTATTTGTACAGGAACACTTTCTTCTTTCTTCAGGAATCCTGGGTTTTAAGCACGTAGTTTTTGTTTAAGCACTTGTTTCATTTCTACCTCTGAATGCTTTTTGAATTGTTTCAGAAAACAACAACAGCAAATAGGTTTTGTTTCTTTCCAATACACTCAGAAAAATTCTAGATGCTACCCTACCTAGTTAATAGGAATATCTGTGTGATATTGTAGTTCATTATTTCTCCGTAACTCCATTCTAAGAGGGCACTAAGTGATTAAAAAGTTCCAAGAATTTCCATGTGCTCCCGGCACTGTCCATGACAGACTGAATAACACATGCGTGCTATTTGGTGCTATTCTGCTATGTATTTTCTCATAGGATAGTTACCAAAGGATCACCATGCCAGGAGGGTGTGTGAAGTGTGGGAAGTTTGTGTCCTCATAGTTGAAAACAAGAAACCACTGCTCTAACTCCAGCCCTGTGTTCTGTGTTTGCAAGATTCCCAATTCTACCTGTGATCAGCATCCTGCATGTAGTGGCAATGGGGAAGAAAATTTTTTAAACCGTTTTGATGAGAATATTTGCTTTCTTTTTGATTCAAAACTGAAAAACACATGCTCTAAAGTATTGTACTACTGCGTATATGTCCTGTATACCCCAAGTGACATTTAGTGGTTATAAGTTGGGCTCCAAAGTCAAAATCCTGCATTCAAATACTGGCTCCACCACTATGTGGCTTTGACAAATTGCCTAGCATTGCTATTTTTTCATCTTACCTCAATAGAATTGGGGTAATAGCCATATCTATTTCGTCGGATTGTTATGAGAATTGAGTGTGTTAATATATGTGACAGAGAAGAGCACCTGGCATGTGGCATGCATACAGTAAAATAAAATAATAGGAAAAATAAAAGCAAATTATTATTTAATCCCCTCTTTCCCCATATCACATGGACTACGTGGATAACACCTGATTAAATTATGTGAACTTGGACTTCCTCCAATATTTCCATAGATTTCCAGGGGAAGAAAAGAAAGAGAAAAACAATTAATACTAATTCAGTACCTACTATGTTCCAAACCCCCTGCTGTTACACAGGGCTCTTCCTGAGCCTATTAATTTTGGATGTTCCACATGGGTGTACATTAAAATATATCCATATTCTACATTATATCATTTTTGACATTGAAAAGATGGAGAGGATTTTTATAATTGTGGTATTAAAATCACTATCAACTTCAACTTTCTGGTTTTCAATTAATAACTTGAGGAGAAAAAATATATTATGCCTCAAACATCTAAAAAGGCCCTTACAAATCTTATGGGTTGCAGGCATTATACCTACAGTAGCTAAGGGATAGTTTGGCCCTCTTTTACGCATCACATTTCTATCACCAAAATAAAATTTCTATTCCATTGATGAGGAAACTGAGACTTAGAGAGCTTAGCATTCTTTACCAACGTCACCTTAGGAAAGCCTTAAATCCAGAGCAGGCCAAGATCAAAAGCACTTTGCTCCACATTACGTGGCCTCCAGAGTTCCCATCTCTTTCAGCTCCCAGTGGAACTGAGGAGCCTGTTTAGCCCCTTGAAGTAAACACATTCCCCAGGGTTCCTCCTCCCCAAGAAAGCAGCACTGAATCAGAGCTCTCCAGTTCTGAATCCGTTTCAGCAGAAAGCCCCGATTTCTGGAAACTCATCTACTCTGGTCAGGTTTCCCATCAAGATTCAAAGCTCTGTGACTTCATGTTGCTGAAGCCCAGAACTCAACATTTCATTTTATCTTTAAACACCCTTTTGTTTCTGTTCTTATCAGTTAGATGTGTGTTTTCTGTCCTGTCCGTTAAGCTTTAAATCCCTTTTCCTTCCTGGTATCTTTCCCAGCTATTGGTCAACGTGGCAGTGAGAAATAACCACTTCTCTGAATTGTTTGAAACGAATTGTGAAATTCAGGTCTATAGCCTGGAACTTGTAAAGATAAAAGTCTCGTGTTATCAGTATCAAAATACATCCTGGTGAAATGTGTGGCACCTACGTTTTGTTTCTCTGACAAATTTTTCTAATGTATTAAAAATATTTCTCTTAGCTTCATAAAATTTTTGCTTGGAAAGAATATTTATCTTATATGCATATAAAGGCTATAGGTGATCCATAAATTCATAGATGGGACCTGATCTTAGCCATCAGAGATGTCAGATAGGTCTAGGCATATAATGACAACTAATTTCTACCAAGGACTTTATAATACGAAACATAATTGAAAGTTCTTTGCATGTCTAACTCATTTGATCCTCTCAGCAAACCCAGGGATTCTAATCCCCATTTTAGAGAGGAAACTGAGGCACAGACGGATGAAGCAAGTTCCTAAAGTCACAAAGCTGGTAAGCGGTAAAGCAGAAATGTGAACCCAGAATCATGGCACCAGTAGCCACAGCCTTAACCACTAGCAATAGCACCTCTCTCATCCAGGGGAAAGCAATTTTAAGGGAGGAAGGACCATGTGAAAGAGATGCTGATATGATCATGGAGGCAAAAATAAAGAAGAAAGCATTTCTTCTGTTGCCACCCAACTCGGCAGACTCATTTCTGAGCCTATAGCAAAAACTGCAGGAACCTTTTGCTGGGGGATTCAACGTGACTTCAGAGACAAATTATTATGTTTGAAGGTGGAAGAAGAGATAAAGGAGATATTCCTCCACTTAGAGCTAGGAAATAAATAATGACATTTGGTATCAGATGGAGCACTAAGACGCAGAATCCTTTGTAAAGATGTTGGTATTTTCATAAATATACCATGAGCAAAGGCAGCGTTAGGCATGATCAAATGACTTCCCAGAGAGAGTGGATCAAATTTGGGGATCACAGCAAGAGTAGAAGTAAGTATCCTATGCCAACTGGAGGCCAAAGCTGTCAGACTGATATGACAATGTAACCCATCTCCTGATCAGGAGATGCCACATAAGCAGTTGTGGGCTGAAGCCAGTGGATTTTAGATTATTATCCCTACATAATCCATATGTAAACAGAGGCTTGGGAAAATTACAAATATTAATGGATTTAATTCTATCACACAACTAAGAACAATTTTACCAGGATGAAATCCAAAGTTATAACCATGAACACACAGTATAAAAAAATAGCCAAAATCAAGATTTAGAAATGACGATCATATGTCGATTTCACATTTCCATTTTTTTGCTGTTGTTTGATTCTTAATAAGCGTTTTGTCATTGACTAGGGCTTCTTAGAAGACACCAAAGACTTAAGAAATTTGTGAGTATAAAAACATTAAAGGAGAAAGGATGGACCAGTTCCTAGAATGACAAGATGACCCAGTCCGTCAATTGAAAACCACTACTTTAGAACATCCAACATTAGGGAAGGCAAAGATTTTATTAGTTTTCTGGTTCAGGTCTTAGAACAGTTTTTATACCAACTTAGATTCCTGCAAGGAATACATGAAAGAAGAGTTAAGAAATGGTGTTGGAAAATGTGAATATGGCACACACACTAAGCATTAACTTATACTCTGAGAGAAGAATTGGAAAGGAAGGAAAAGAACGAGAGCATCCACGCATCCCAATAACTGCGCACATTTGAAAGACATGAACAGAGAAGCGAGACCAGCGATTAGACCTCCATTTTTCCTGGACATGTAACACAGTTCACTGTCTTATAGACAGAACCCAAAACAAAGTGAATCGTTAGAGTTACGGTTTCACCACAAGAAATTAGAATAGGTTCATCTGTCAAATCAATACAGAAAGATCAAAACAAACGCACGATATAATATATCTTTTCTTTTGTAAAATCTTCAGTAATTGGAGTCCTGGTAAATGTCTCATTTTCACCTTGCAGGATATTTTATCTGGAGGTCTCAATGATAAAGGCAAAAGCTCTTCTCTTCCTCCGCCCACTATGGGCATAATTCAACAAGAGAAACCTAATTTTGTCATATTATATACTAGTCTTTACTTGAAAGAATATTTTGATAAAAGAATTGAATATACTAAAAATTATAACTGTTTACATACATACAGCCACGTAAAAGGGAGGAATTAGATCTAAGGATGAAAATAAGCGTATGTTTAACTAATGAAAGCAAAAGATGGTTTAAAGACTAAAAAAAGTAGAATGCCTTTGAAAATTTGATCAAAAACAAAAAAGAAAAGAAATATTACTAACATTAAGAACAAAGGAGAGCACAGATACATACAGAAATATTTTAATTAGAAGTAAACGCTCTGTAAAACTTTATAGCAATAAATTTGAAAATCTAGCTAAAAGGGATACCTTCAAGAAAAATTTAACAACGTTTACTCAAAACGCAACAGAAAGTCATAAGGAAAAATAACCATTGTAGAAATTTAAAATACAATCAAAAGATATTTACTTTAATAAGACAGAAGATAATGATAATTTTATACCAATTTTGACTAAATATTCAAGGAAGAAGTAAAACTTTTGTTATAAAAACTATGCTAAGGGCAAATAAAGTGATGTGAAATTTCCATATTCCTTTTCTATTGATATGTCACAGATTGCCATAAACTAAGCAATTGAAAACAATACTAATATATTATCTCAAAGTTTTCCTGGGTCAAGAGTCTGGGCATGGATTAGCTAGGTCTTCTGCGCAAGGAATCACCAGGCTAAAATCAACATGTCACTTGGGACACAAGAATCTTATCTGAACTTCAGTTGTTCTTCAAATCTCACTGTTGACAGAATTCAATTCTTTGCCACTGTAGGACTTACGTCCCCACTTCCCTGCTGGCTGTCAGCTTGGAACTTTTCTCAGTCCCAGTGGCCACTAGCCCATTGTCTGCGATGCTCGGCCCCTCCTTCCACAACACAGTACTTTGCTCCTTAAAGATAATAAAAGACTCTCTCTCACTTGATATCACCATTCAGGGAAGGTTTTGACTCTCTTTCAAAAGGTTCATTGGATTAAGTCAATGCCAACCAGAGTATTCTCTCTTTTGATAAACTCAAAGTCAAATGATTAGACTGTTCTTGCATCTGAAAAATCCCTTCCCCATGGCATATAACGTAAGTTAACTACAGAAATGGCATGCATTTCTTTAAGTCCTTCCCCTGATGCTGACGGACTCAGATGAGGATGATGTCCTAGAGCTGGAAAAATCACATGGTGGAAGAACTAGGGGTTTCTGAAGGACCACATGAAAGACTGGATCTCTCCAAGCTGAACACCCACCCAGCAGCGGTATCTGGGAAAAGATAGAGTGACATGCTCCTGAAATTTGGGCAGTCATTCAGCAGCTCATCATATACAACAAAAAGTCTAAGTCACAGGACTAACTTCAATACATATCAACGTAGCACATTCCAAATGATGGGAGTCTATTTGGCTCTAATGACTCAGCAGGTAAGTGGGGGGATGGAACCTCAATCAACATCTGTACCATGAAAAGACTCATTAGTGTCAGGGCTAAAAAGAAAACAAGGTCCTTTCTCTAGGGGCTCACAGTCTTCGGGGAAGATGGACAAAACAAGGAGACTAAAACCATGTGAATGAAAGGTGCATACCCCACATGGAAGGCAAGCAGGTGCTGTGATAGAGCATGGGGTCCACTGGGAGAGGGGACTGGAAAGGCTGCCATGAGGTGACATTCATATTTGCAGCAGTATGACAAGAAGGAGCCAGCCCTGCATAAATAAAGGGCTCGGTAGCCTTTAGGAAAGCCCAGCAGTGCAGAATTTTGGAGGCACAAGTGAGGTTGGCCAGAGAGGAGGTTAGAGAGCAGGGCAGTGTGGTGAGAAGGAACTTGGCAGGAGAGTCAGGGAGGGAGGGAGGAGAGGGGAGGGCAAGACCAGGGCCAGGGGCAGGGCAACAGCATTAGGCAGCTATCATTGCTGTGTGACAACCTTTCCCCATCTTTACTCTCTTAACCAATGAACCTTGATTATGTCATGGTTGCACTGGACCAGGAATCCAGCAGCGCTCAGCTGGGAGCTTCTGCCAGAGGCTCTCAGGGGGTCGGGCTGTGCTCGGAACTGAGGCAGGATCTGCATCCCTCCCACTCTGAGCGCACTCTGGGGTCCTGGAGGGCGCCATGCGACTGAAGGCCTGCAGGCCCCTCTGTCGGTGAGTCTCCTTCAAGGCCAGGCCACGTCGGCCTCTCTAGGGTGCAACCTAGAACACACAGTCTTGTTCCCCAGAGTGAGGGATATGAGGGAGAGAGAGAACACAGGTCAGAGCCAGAAGGAGGGGAGCCCCGGACTGTTTGGGACCCAGTCTCAGAACTGCCTGCGCATCACTCTGCCCTCTTCCACAGAGTAACAGGGAATGACAAATGTCAGGCCACAGTCAAGGGGAGTGGATTCCAGCAGCATGTGTAGACCGAGCAGAGGGGATCACAGGAGGCCATTGACGGAGAAGGAGAACACCTCAGAGGCTCAATGCTCTGCCCAGAATCACAGTCTAGTTCAAGGTGCAGCCAGGAGTGAACCCAGCTCCGCATCCTCAAGGATGGGGCCCTGGCTGCTCCCAGGCTTCCTCAGGGGGCTCTGAAAAGGCGGTGTTGCTGTAACTGCAGACACACATGGAGAGGGCAGGGGGCTGAGACTGAGAAGTCTGCAGCCTTGATGGGCATTTGGCAAGTTCTTGCCTGAGGAGGAGCCCAGGACAGGGGAACACTTGAGTCTCCCCCTGTCCAGGTCACGCCCAGGGTGGAGGGAGCAGGGGCCACCTTTGCTGAGCTCATGCTTATGCACTTCTGAACTCAATCCCTCACTGGAGAATTGGGAAATTGAGGCCTGTAGGGAGGTAGACACTGGCCCATGGCACATAGCAGGCAAGAGTCCAAGCGGAAAGAAGTATTCTGATATTCTAGGGCAAGACTCGAACCCTTCCAATAGGCTTTGTGGTGGACAACAGAAACCGTCAGTTCTTGGCAAGCTCTGGCCCATCCCTTCCTCTGTGGAGGCTGTTTCCTCCTGGGCATCCAGGACGTGAGCCGTGACACACACGTACACACAGAGACCTTAGAAGGAAGGGCGGACTATGGGGTGGGCTCAGAAGAGAGGCAGACACAGGGGAGGTGAGGAGAGGAAGAAAAAAGCCGTTAGAGGCGTTCCCTACACGGGACACCGCTCCTCCAATTTCACAGGTATTTTCCCACTCGGGCCTGAGGACATCTCCAAGAACTATGGGCTAGGATAATCCCCCCCATGCAGACTGGAGGCAGAAAGGCCCCGCGAGGCACCATGGCTTCTCCAGGATGAGGAACAGGGAAGAAGGAGCACTTGTGTCTGCGTCTGTCTCAAAGCTGGGACCCTGGCTGCACCCAGACCTTCTCGGAGGCCTGTGGAGACAGGTGGTTTGGGGATCCTGGGGACACATATGATACTGCATGGAAAAGGGGGTGAACAGTGCCCCGCCCAGAGGACTGCTTGCATGGGTGGTATCCGAGGAGGGGCCTCAGATCACCGTGGTTTCCAGGCAATGATGTAACCTCTTTCACAACAATGCCCACAGTGCAGGGGCCTCCTGTAAAGAGGCACCCAGATCCTCACACTCAGCTCACTTGGCTGGAGACAGCTGCTACGGAAAGATGTTTTCCTGCTGTATCCTGCCTCACAGCGTCTATGGTCCCCAGACGACCCGGAGCCAAAACCTTTTTACTCGTTTTAAAGGGTGGCTCACCTCTCATACACCACACCTATGGCCGTTTGCCAGGAGGTCATCAAAGGTAACACGAGGGGGCCTACATCGGGCTATCCAGCTCAGGCCACTTCTGTGAGCCCCCACTGAACGAACCCCACCCTCTCCCTTCCGTGGGGGGGATCCTGACTTGGCGGGAACTGCTGGGTGTACAGCTGATCACCTGGTGCTGCTGCCATCTTCACATCCCAGGACAGGGCTGGCACCATGGAAAGGGGATTCCCAAGTTGCCTCTTAACTGGGCCAAGTTTCCTTCAATTCTTTTTCTGATGGGAGTAACCTTCGTTTATAGCATTACGTAGTTTCAGGCGTTCATCATTATATTGCGATTTCTGTGTAGATGACATCGTGTTCACCACATAATGACTAATGACAATCCATCACCACACCCATGTGCCTAATCATCCCTTTCACCCTCTTCCCTCCCCACTTCCTCTCTGGAACCCCCAATCCAATGCCTATCTCCTGTGATTCTTTGCTGCCGTCATCCCTGATTTATGAGAGTTGTCACAAGGTTATTGGACTTTCTCCCTCTGAATTAGTTCACTTAGCATAATACCAAGGGACTCGCCTGTGTGGGCCACAAGGATGCCTCTGTTGAGGCGTGGTTGCCGTTGCCACAGGTGACCAGGGAGGCAACGCTGTGCCCTGGGCCGACTGGTTGTTGGACTCAACTGCCTGTGGCTGTGATGGTCCTTTCAGTCACTTTATCGGCATGGGGCACCCCAGCACAGTTGCCTGCCAGGTCTACTGGCTCATTCCTGTTGCAGATTTTCTGCTGAGTGATTTGGCGCCCATCGTGGCTGGCTCCTAGTCTCAGGTGCAGGGGCTGGCTGCAGGCTTCAGGCCTGCAAGGCTGTTGTCAGAATTCTCAGGGTTGCAGCTGTTTGGGGCTGGCCCCAGGCATGGAAGCACGCAATATTTTCAGGCTTTGGAAGGTGGGGCCTATGCCCTATGTGGCTGTTGTAGAAGCTGCTTATTGCAGTAATGCTCCCCCACCCAGCTCAGATCCCACAATCCATCAGGAAAGGCTGCACACCTTAAGGGAGCTCCCAACTGGCCCTGAAGCATCACGGCTCGAAGATGGCTTTGTTCCTCTCCAGAGAGGAACTCTGCCTCTTCCAGCTCAGTCAGCACCGTCCCGTTTGGTGAGGGTGCTTTCATCCAGCTTTCAGTTCTTTATGAGCCGTAATTGTGCCAAGAGCAGCTGTAAATTCATTGCATCCATGGGTGGAGAGGAGTTCAGCGTCCACCAAGAACAACATCTTGACAGCTTCCTGGGCAAATGTTAAGGCAAGGCCCTCAGGCTGTCACCTGATTACCTCCTTGATGGAGATCTGTGCAGATGGTGGGGGCCGTGTGTCGGGAGTGGAGAGAGTCACCGAGTGTCAGAGCCCCCAAAGTGACTCAGCCAGTGCTCTGAGGCTTCCTGCCTGACTGCCGGGCACTGTCTTTACAGATCGCTCCTGAGGAAGTCGGAAAGGACAAGACAGATCCGTCCTTCCTTTCCGTGATTCTACAGGAAGGGATGATGCGGCACCCGGCCGACACAAGCCAGCGCTGGGCCTGGGTGAGTGCAGGTGCTCAGGACACCCAGCACCCAGGGCCCCAGGACTCCAAAGACAACCATAGGTCCTACAAGGCCCTGGTACCACTCCTGCTCCAGAAGAAATCTGTCTCCCCATCTCTGCCCCCAACCTGCCCGCACTGCCCAGCTCCTGTCTTGGCCACATTCAAAGTCACTGTCACCGTAACTCTACGAATCCCAGCAAAGAGACTTTTCTCCCATTTCACCTCATGTTTGGTCAAGGGGATCGTTGCATTTTTCTGTACATTTTCCTCTTTCACCCCATCCCCAAGTGTCCATGATGACCTCACAATCCTTCCACACTTTCTTCACGTCTCACACTGCCTCATAATGGATAAGGATGCTTTTCCCCAAAAGGATGTGGGGCTCATTGGGACATGTGTGTTGCTCTTTTGCCCTCCTGAGGAACATGTGCCCATGGCCCCTCCAGATCAGGGGCTGGGGCCTCACTGAGATGCACCACATTTTGGATGGCAGACCGTGGACGAGACTGATTCAGCCCTTCACTGCTGTGGGACCTCCTGTTGTCCTTTCATCAGTGCTGCACTGGACGTCCTGCCTGTCCTCCTGTCCCAATCCATCCCCCCGCAGGGAAAGCCCCCGTCTTCTCCTCTCTGCAATGGGCTCTTGTGTCAGAAACCCCAGGGCTGATGCTCTTAACACACACAGGTGCTGTCAATTCTCCGGTAACACCTTGATCTGCTACTGATACTGATACTAACACGTTCGTTCATTCCCCCATCTGATTCTACCTGTAAGACCAGAAGTTTTTCCTACTCTGGGAACTCCTGTCCCACCCCTTGCCAGAAGTCACTGGGGGCTTGAGGCATTGCTCTGACCGCCAGCCCCAACCCTCCTGGTGCCCACAGTGCTGCCTCCTAAGCTGCGCCTCTCCTCTGTACCACCCCAGGCTCTCGACGCATCCACAGTGGTCAAGAGTCCGTTTCCCAGGGTGTGGATGGTTCACGACACTGCGCTCAATAGTCTCGTGGATCACCTTGTGCCCGCTTTCCTGCTGGGCGACACCACTTTTATCCACAGCTTCCTGTTGACGTACATAGCTGTGGCCTCCACACAACAAGTGCTGGATGAGTTCTTTAACAGGTGAGTGCCCTTCTCCTCCAGGACTCTGGGGCTCCAGCTATCTGCACGCCGGGAGTCTTGGGGAGGTCTGCGCACCTCTCTGAGCCTCAGTTTGCTCCTTTGAATACTGGCGAGAAGACGGGAACCACCGCCAAGGGCTATTGTAGGGACTCAATGAGCTCCTGCCTGGACGGCCCTTTCGAGAAGCTGAGCCCTATGAAAGGTCAGCTGGATCGGCCCTCCAGGGCTCCATTCTAGACAGGAGTCAGACAGTCACATAAGACTCCTCAGGCAGCTGCCGTCCAGTACAGTCAATGTGATGCCCTCCTGTCTCCTCTAGTTACAGATTCATCCTCTCTTGTAGAGTGGACGACGCGCCCACCCGCCTATGGAAAAAGTGAGTGGGCACTGGATCAAGTGGGAGGGCCTCTCCTCTCCACACTGTAAGGGGAGTGTAGGGCCTATGATCGAGCGGCTGGCAGGACCCCCTATCCCAACGTCTTCTGATTCCTCCGGGACGGCAGAGTTCTGAGGGCTTCTCAAATTAGAGAAGAAAACAGTCCAGGAGAGCTCTGCAGGGGGCTGTGGGTGCTGTGGGAGACCAAGGCAGAGTGGAGTAAGCCACTACAGCACCCAGATGCACCCCTCCCCATCCCAGTCCCACCTCCACTCCCCATCGTGGGACACAGAACAGGAGGTGTCTGAGCATCCTGCTCACTCATCTGGAAGAACCTCCACGGTGGGGGCTCCTCTGCTGCCCAGTGGCCCACTCAGTGCTCAGGGACCAAATGACACCCTCCGTGTCAGCCACTAGCAGGAGGGGAAGGTCACCCACGTGGGGCACCTGGTGAATCAGGCAGCACACAGGCACAGGACCTAAAGTCTGAGGTATGTGGAGGGCACTGGAAAGCACAGGCAGGAGACAAAGACCGTTGTTCCTGGATCAGTCAGATATTCACTGCACCCTACTGTGTGCCAGTGCCTGCAAGAACAGGGCAGACTGCACCACGCCCTTCCGTCCTGGACTGGCATTCCAGTGGGATGTGCCAGTTGACACTCGAGGACTGTGTCAGGCTTCCCTGAGGAAAAGGAGGGGCCATCACTCCAGGGACCGAGTGCTCTCACTTCCCAAGGTGTTTTCCCAGCCTCTCCTTGGAGACGTGGCCTGTTCTGCCAAGCTGGCCGGGTAGCAGGCGAACGGAAAGTGGGACTGGCCCCTGGACAGGCAGGAGCAGGAGGCACAGGAGCCCAGACCCCCACGAGGTACCCTGGGAGGGCAGTATGGAAGGAGAGGCCGGTTCTCTGACTCCGCTGCCCACCTGTCTCTCCTCAGGGCCTTGGCCTTCATTCTTGGCACGTGGATGGAATCCTATCCCCAGGACTTTTGCCAGCCCCCAGACTTTCCCAGCTTGAGGAGAGTATTGGCCTTCCTTGCGTTCAGCATGCCAGGCTCGCAGGTGGAGCATCAAGCTCGCCTTCTGCTTTCACAGTCGCTGCACTCTGAGCCCAGCAAGGCAGAGAGTCAGGGTGAGCAGGACTTGGGCTGTGTGACACGGGCGTGTGTGGAGGCAATGTGGCCGGGCCACTCAGCACAGAGCCTTCAGAGGCTGGGGTTAGGCTGAGAGCCATGAGCTGGAGCAGATCACAATTCCCACGGACTCCAGGCATGGCACAGCTTCTGGAGGGCGGTTCATGTACTGAGTCTCCCTGATTGGTGAGACATTTCCCTTGCTTGGGAGGAACATGGAAAGACAGTCACGTTTGGTTTCTCTGTGTGTTTTTGTACGTGTGTATGTGTGTGTGTATGTGAGGCATCGTTACTTTGGGTTTTTCTTTATTTTTTTTCACCATTCCCTTTTTTTAATTCTTGGTTGCGTTGACAGTACTTTATAAACTTCCTCAAAGTTCAGGTGTTCGGTGTTATATATTTCAATTTCTGTGTAGATTACAGCAGGTCCCCCACCCAAAGACTAATTGCAATCCATCACCACACACATGTGCCTAGTCATGGGGATGTGATTTTCTCCTCTTGGATCTGCAGCACCTGCTCCTGAGAAAGATCCCAAGCCAGCTGAATATCGACCCCCTGCTCCAACTCTAGTGCCCACCGCACCTCAGAGCCACACACCGATGTCCAGCAGTGGAGGCGCCTCGAGCCTCAGCCCGGATTGCACTTCAAGCGATGGAAAGACCGTTAACGTCCTCCCAGCGACGAGCCTCAGCACCTGGAATGCCGCACCACGGCCGATTTCTGCCCCTCCCCATTTACCTCCTGTTCAATAAAGTTGTTTTTGTCTTGCACATACTTAACGCTTTCCTTTAATATCTCTTGAGATGTTCACTTCAACAGGATGTCATTCCTTTATCCTTTCAAAATGTCCATTTCGAATGACGTCACCAAGATGGTGGAGTCAGTAGTCTTCTCTGTCTCTCTCCCTTCGAATCTACAACTAATCGGACATTCATCGGTTAACAAAGGACATCCATATAACATCTCGGGATGCCTGAGAGTCCCGTGCTGCTATGCATCGGAAGGCGGATGGACTTCCCCCCAGGAGGAGGTGGAGATAGGTGAAATCTCTCCGACCCCTAACCCCCGACCACCGGACCGCCTAGTACCTGCAAGTGGCTTTCTTCCAGCGGACGCACCCATAGCATCTCCATGCACCAAGGGCAGGAGTGTGTGCACACCAGCGTAGCGACGGTGGAAACAGGTGACTACAGCCCTACCTAAGCCCCTTGCGATTACACCTAAGCACAGGGGCAAACCCCAGGGTCTCACACCAGCGGCAGGGAAAGCCTCTACTCACCATTAGCAGAGAGGCCCCGCCCATCATTCAAACCGCCCAGAAGGTCCTGAAGAGGAGGATGCCAGGCAGTGCAGCAGCCAGCCAGCTGCCACTGGACTCACGGACTCCGGCTGTCCCCCAGACAGGGCATAGGCTCCCAGAGATCCTGTGGGAAAAGATTGGGGTTGGGTGGAGTTCCAGCGGCCCGGCTCCGTGGCCCAGGGGGGATCTCAAGGCTTCTGCACTGGCGGCAGGGAAAGCCTCTACTCACCATTAGCGGAGAGGCACCGCCCAGCATTCAGAACGCTGGGAGGGTCCCAGAAAGGAGAATCCCGGGCAGGGAAGCAGCCAGCCAGCCAGCCACCACTGGACTCACACACTCCGGCTGTCCCCCAGACAGGGCATGGGCTCCCAGAGATCCTGTAGAAGAGGACTGGGGTTGGGTGGAGTTCCAGTGGCTCAGCTTCATGGCCCAGGGGGAGACTCTACAGTCCCACAGCAGCCTCAGGAAAAGCCTCTGCACAGCACTAGTACAGAGGCCCCACCCAGCAATCACAAGGCTGGAAGGCCCTAGGGCAAAAGTAGCATAGCTAGGTGAGCTAACCACAGACTGCAGAAGATACCCATAGCTCTGCTGTGACCTATAGTGGACAAGTGAGATTTTGTGGGCTCCGACAGTGACAGAGCTGCGAAGATAGGTGATCCTGCTCCCGACCTCTTGGAAAGCCCTTAACACTGCTGCAGACCCTAAGCAGGGAGCACATCTAGGTGGTCTCCAACAGTAGGCACTAGCAGCCTGAAGCCCTCTTGTGATTGCCCCCACACCTGATGAGGGACCCCACAGGACCACTGCGACTACAAGGAGGGGCGCAGGTCCAGTTAGCAACAGCTGACAGGGTTCCTGGTCGGTGCAGTCTAAACAGCTGCTCCCCTACACACACCAGTAGAAACAAGTGGAAGCAGTAACTAAACTCTATCTCTATGTGGAGGCACAAATCTATGCCATCAAGCAGTAAGAAAAAATATATTAAATCCCCAGAACAGAAGGAAAATGACAGAAAACAATCACAAAGACAATGAAATCTATAACCTAAATCACGATGACTTCAAAACAGCCATTATTCAAAAACTCAACGAGTTAAAAGAGAATACAGATAGACAAGTCAACGAGTTCAGGAGCTATGTCACAAAAGAGCTTGATGCTATAAAGAAGAACCAATCAGAAATACTGGAGATGAAGAACGCAATGGAGGAGATTAAGAAAAATGTGGACTCTCTGGACCGTAGGGTTGATAATATGGAGGACAGAATTAGCAATTTGGAGGAGAGGAATACAGAAATGCTGCAGACAGAGGAGGAGAGAGAACTAGGACTAAAAAGAAATGAAGAAACCCTCCAAGAATTATCCAACTCAATCAGGAGATGCAACATAAGGATTATAGGTATACCAGAGGGAGAAGAAAAGGAGAAGCGGGCAGAAAGCCCACTCAAAGAAATAATGGCTGAGAACTTTCCAAACCTTGGGAGAGAGATGGAACTTCGTGTGACAGAAGCCAACAGATCTCCAAACTTTATCAATGTAAGAAGACCAACCCCAAGGCATATAGTAGTGAAGCTAGCAAAAGTCAACGACAAAGAGAAAATACTAAGGGCAGCCAGGTAGAAGAAAATAACCTACAAAAGAAACCCCATAAGGCTATCAGCAGATTTCTCAGCAGCTACCTTCCAGGCTAGAAGAGAGCGGACTGATATATTCAAAACTCTGAAGGATAAAAACCTGCAGCCAAGAATACTCTACCCAGTGAAAATATCCTTCAAATACAATGGAGAAATAAGATCTTTCCCAGATAAACAAAAGTTAAGGGAATTCATTGTCCCAAGACCTCCTCTTCAAGAAATGCTCAGGAAGACCCTCATACCCGAAAAATCAAAAAAAGGAAAGGGGTTAAAAAACCAAGAGCAAAGGAGATAAGTAGAAGGAGAATAACAAAAAGTGGCAGCTCTCCATCAGAACAGGTTAGCAAATGTTAAATAAAACAGCAAAGATAAAAGGAAGGGAAACACCAAGAATAAATATAATCCTCTCGTTTTAACCACAAACTCACAACACAAGAAGGAAGAGAAAAAAAAAAATCTGATGACAACAACCTAGAAGGGGAAGAGAAAAGGGATGGGATGTTTTAATTCAAGGAAATAAGAGGCTATCAGAAAATGGACTATCTCATCTATGAGATGTTTTAGACAAGCCACCTGGTAACCACTAAACAAATAACAAGAATAAAGACACAAGTTACAAATAAGAAGAAAGCCAATACAGAAATTTACATACCTGAATGAGTAATCTAAAAATCATGGGACGAGAAACAAAGAAAATGCAAGAGAACAGGAAAACAAGTGATAAAATGGCAGCGATAGGCCCTCCCATTTCAATAATCACTCTAAATGTAAATGGATTGAACTCTCCAATCAAAAGACACAGAGTGGCAGGATGGATCAAAGAACAAGACCCAACAATATCCTGCCTCCAGGAAACACACCTCAGCCCCAAAGACAAACACAGACTCAGAGTGAAGGGATGGAAGACGATACTCCAAGCTAAGAATGAACAAAAGAAAGCAGGTGTCGCTAGATCAGACAAAGTAGAATTCAAAGCAAAACAGATAAAGAAAGACAAAGACGGGCAGTATATGATCATAAAAGGGACACTACACCAAGATGACATAACACATAAATATATATGCATCCAACACAGGAGCACGAGTTTGTAAAGCAACTCCTAACAAAACTAAAAGGAGACATCAACAACAATACAACAATAGTAGGGGACCTCAACACCCCATTAAGATCAATGGATAGATCATCCAGACAGAAAATCAACAAGGACATTATAGAATTAAATGAAAAATTAGACCGGATGGACTTAATAGATATATATATATAGAACACTTCATCCAAAACTAGCAGGTTACACATTCTTCTCAAGTGCGCAGGGAACATTCTCAAGGATAGACCATATCTTGGGAAACAAAGCAACCATCAATACATTCAGAGGGTTGAAATAATATCGAGCATATTTTCTGATCATAATGCTATGAAACTAGAAATCAACTACAAGAATAAATCTGGGAAAGGGGCAAAAATGTGGAGACTAAACAACATGCTACTGAACGAAAAACGGATTATTGAAGAAACTGAAGAAATCAAATGTTATCTGGAGACAAATCAAAATGAAAACATGCCAGACCAACTCATTTGGGACGCAGCAAAAGCAGTCCTAAGAGGGAAATTCATCGCAATACAGGCTCACCTCAATAAACAAGAAAAATCTCACATAAGCAACCTCAAACGACACCTAACAGAATTAGAAAAAGAAGAACAAACAAAGCCCGAAGTCAGTAGAAGGAGGTAAATAATGAAAATTAGAGCAGAAATAAACGACATTGAAACAAAAAAGACAGTAGAAAGGATCAATGAAACAAAGAGTTGGTTCTTTGACAAAATTGACAAAATCGACAAGCCCTTAGCCAGACTCACTAAGAAAAAAAGAGAGAAGTCTCAAATAAAGAAAATTAGAAAGGAGAGAGGAGAAATCACAACAGATACCAAAGAAATACAAGGGATGATAAGAGAATACTATGAAAAACTATATGCCAACAAATTGAACAGCCTAGAAGAAATGGATAAATTCCTAGAGTCTTACAACCTCTGCAAACTGAATCAGGAAGAAATAGAGAATCCGAATAGACCAATCACAAGTAAGTAAATAGAAACGGTAATCCAAAACCTCCCCAAAAATAAGAGTCCAGGACCAGACGGCTTCTCTGGAGAATTCTACCAAACAGACAAAGAAGACTTAATACCTATCCTTCTCAAACTATTCCAGAAAATTGAGGAAGATGAAGCACTCCCTAACACATTCTATGAAGCCAACATCACTCTGATCCCCAAACCTGACAAAGACAACACAAAGAAGGAAAACTACAGGCCGATATCACTGATGAACATAGGCGCAAAAATCCTCAACAAAATTCTGGCAAACCGAATACAGCAATACATCAAAAAGATTATACACCATGATCAAGTGGGGTTTATACCAGGGACACAGGGATGGTTCAACGTCCTCAAGTCAATCATCGTGATACTCTACGTTCACAAAATGAGAAAGAGAAACCACATGATCATCTCAATAGATGCAGAGAAAGCATTTGACTAGATCCAACATCCATTTATGATAAAAACCCTCAATAAAATGGGTATAGAAGGAAACTACCTCAACATAATAAAGGCCATATATGACAAACCCACAGCCAACATCATACTTAAGGGACAAAAACTGAAAGCCATCCCTCTGAGAGCAGGAACGAGACAAGGGTGCCCACTTTCACCACTCCTTTTCAACATAGTACTGGCGGTGTTGGCCACAGCAATTCGGCAGAAAAAAGAAATAAAAGGAATCCAAATAGGCAATGAAGAAGTAAAATTCTCGCTGTTTGC